CGAGTATTACGGAGAAAAAAACAGTAGAAGACAAAACAGTTAGACAGTGCATAGGAAAGCTGCAAGCCTCGCGAACTGCATTCCACTCACTGTGGTTTTGAAAAGTTTGTAAATTGCCGAATAATTTTGAGACCTTCTGACTGCTACACTCGAATTCAAGGTTTACGAACTGCGCACTGTGTAGATCCAGTTTAAGAAAAACTACGTTTTCGTCTGCAATTTGAAGAAGAAGTCACACAGTTCTCATAAAATGTTGCAATAGGTGTGGAGCATGCTTAATACAGTCGAGGCAGCTTTAATCAATTAAAGGATGCGACATATTATGAATGAACACATCACAATCGTAAAAAGCTCATCATTAAAAATGTTTTTAAAACCGAATGATACCTTTTCTTTAAGTAGACAATTTAAATAAGGCGTAATTTGCTACCAAACGAGAATAATTAAAAACACTTTTGTGCATGTTTTCAATAAAATAAATTTACATTTATAAAGGCAGTCAAAATTAATGATAACTACGCATACTATTTAAGTAGTTACATTTTACAATACTTAGGCTTTGTTAGTGGTCAGAACGAAGCTCATTAAATAGCCCACAGCCTATCATGACTGAAATAACTACAGAATAGCCTACAAGATAAACAGTATCCGAACCCGAGTCAATGTAGATTAGCGAAAGAATATCAATATTTCGCATTTGTCGGCATGTTGCACGAAGTCTGGCACGTACGGATTTTCACATTTGAGTGCACATGCATATGGTCCAATCTGAATTAGGAAACTGTCCCGTCGGTCTGGAGCCCACGCAATTGAAAGAGACAAAAAGCTGCAACAGTAGCTATCGTCGTGCAACAACTCCGATTATTATTATTTTTAAATGCAGTAATTCTAACCTCAGTCTGAGTCTAAATCCCGCTATTTTATTTTAATGGAGTTGTCCTCCTCTTTTATCTTTCATGCGATTTTGTATGTAATCTGTAAACTTAAATTGTAACGATATAAAAAACAGGATAGAAAGGAATAAAAACAGATCAGTTAGTCTGCTTCGAAAATGCAAGGTTAAAAAATAAAGTTTGAGCTGGGCTAACACGCGGGTACACAAAAAGCAGAAGGCATACCCTCTGAATCTTTTTCTTCCAGGGCTCTTTGGCGCTGATCGTCAGCCTGAATTCTCTTTATATTTTCCGCCGAGTACGTATTAATAGAGGCAATATCGTTCTTCAGCTCCGCAATTTTCTCGTCCAGCTTCTGTGTCTAGGAAAAATATTTAAACGTGAAATGCATCTTGAAACTTAATTAAATAAATGTGTTTACTTGGAAATTTTAACAAAACTGGCAACAGGGTATCTATAAGAACGCCATACTGAAGTTTTACACCGCTTTCCTTGTAAAATATATTTAACTTTCTTCAACACGAAAATAAGAATAAACTGGCAATTGATAGCAAGGGCAGTGTCACAATCTTCTTTATCGGTTATCCAGCGACGGTTTTTGAAATAGGTCTATAAGAGGGACATATTAAAGCATTCATTGGCAAATGTAAGCATTTCGAAAGTAGATATTGGCACAATCGGAAAATAAAAATGCTTAGAGTGGCTAGACGCATATAAATTGAACGCAATAATCTGTCAATAGGAGCAAAGGGGAAAGTTCCAGGATAATTTTGGACAGAAGAATGCATGGTCGTTAGAAAGTAAACTTTATTCGCCTTTAACTGCGTTAGAAGCAAATTGCTTCGGATGTGACGCCGAGGTGTTAGGCGAATAATTTTGTTTCTAAATTCGGTATTCACTTATAGCATGTCAAAGTCTGAGAAGTGTCGTGATACCAGAAAGTTCGTTTGGCCGCTAAATTTTCTGGTTTATTGTAATCTACGCACAGACCGCTGCGCCATAAAAAACGGAGAATAGCCTTTATTGAGTGCATCCAAGTAGTCTATTTGACCTACGCGCCCGCCAATGTTTCATTCCCTAGAAAGATATTTACCATTCTAAGCGGCTTTAGGGAATAGATCGCACATCCTTAATAGTTGACCTTTGTCGAGAAACAAAGCCAAGGGGAAGGGGGTGCTCAACTCTATTGGAAACGATGATAATCGTGCTGTGTAGCCAACTCCCAATAATTTTGTTTATTCGGGTCGCTACTGTACAACCCAACGTGCCCGTATCTCCACCGGCAGACACGAGGACAGGCAAGCAAACTGATCGCCTATGAGGAAACCCTTGGCCTGGTTATTTAAACTCGAGAGCTCACCAGTACGCGATGTATTGCTTATGGAGACCAAAATCTCAATATTGAAAGTTTGACAGTAATTCGCTCAGACGCTTACGAATTATAACAATTCATCTTGCTTCTGAGTATAGTTAGCATCAGTTGTTTGAGACCGCTAAACCATTTAGCTATTCTCAGTCCTGCAAGGGCGTTTTACGTAGCTACGCTTGCGCTAAAGTCTTTTTTGAAAAGTGTTGATATATTCCTGGTAGGACTCCTAAATGCACGGCTAAACAGTTAGGGACAACTCCAATAATAATTACAACAGGCCGATTGTTTAAACGTAAAGTTTAAGCAGGAAAACTTACTTCTACCAAAGCCTCATTCTGTTTTTCTTCGACTTGCTTGTTTAACCAGTCCACTTCGGTCTTCAACTCAGTTGTGTGTTTTAATATGGAATTATAGCGCTCCTCCCTTTCAATATCCTCCTGGCATGTGAACAGAAGTTGCTGATAAACACCTTCCCGAATTTTGTTCAAGAGATCCAGGAGTTGACGCTGTCCCGGTTCTAGTGAAAAGCATTCGTAGTTTTGCAGATCATCGACATTTGAAACAGGTTTGTTTGCGGTATCATCATTTGAGGACAGTATTCGCAGAAATTGGTCTAGGAACGATGGTGATCGCTGCAGTTGATGGATATATCGTCGTACTGCTTCTCTAAAAACTGTAGACAACTTTAAAAGAAAAGTATTGTTTAGCCACGGTTTACACAAATGTACTTAAAACGGCGGATTTGCTCGGTGAAGTTCAAGGGACTTTAAGTAAGTTTAGGGTGCTCCGAAACAAATGACGCCGTAATCCTATGAAGTAAGATAAATCGGTTAGAGTGCATATTCCGTGGATTTGTTAATAATATATAGGGGAACCTCCGTTAATGAGTTTAATCCGTTCCGGCACCGGCCTCGTCAGCGTAAAGGCTTGTCATGCAAAACGTTGCCAATAAAATTGCATCAGTTCACTGATGAGTCGCAGGCAACCCCTGACACGCGTTCTGGGAGCAAAACTCAACAGTGGACACAAGCACACAGGCACGCACTGACAACTGGTTTACTGAGCGGAAGCTCGTCAATCGAAACATTTTTTTCTGTTATTGGCTCGCTCGTTACGTAAAGTACTCGTGTATAGGGACTGCTCGTCATTCGAGGCTCCACTTTACTTGCACTTGTTACGGCTGCGATCACACCTGATCAAGTTGGACTCGGATTACACCTCCGCACGTGCGAAGATTCATGGCAGCAGACCAGGACAGTTCAATCCGCCCTAGTCGCCATCGTCGGAGGCCGAATACCAAAGGTCTGGGAACATCATCTGGGACAAGATCTGGGACATCATCTCTGCACGCCTGTTCAACCACATGATGGAGACAAGGCACCAGATTCGACACACGACTTGTAAATTTCAGCGGGTATGCCGTCCTCT